TTTTTTTACCACTTTTGTACGCTTCTAGGATCTCAAACCACGGAGTCTTCAATCTCCTGCAGAGGGCTTTCAAATACGGCGTTCTTCTGCTTAACCTTCACTTCTTACTCCGAAAACTGTAGCCTTTGTTTTGATAAAAGTGATAACCCAACGTGTAGTAAAGTATTAACGTTCCTTCACAAAAACCAATATTATTGAAACTAGGACTTAGTTTGTGCAAAAGTTGCGTTATTTTAGATTGTCAAAACGACCAGGACTTGAATTTTAGAGTTTGACCGAATTCAGTGTCCCACAAAGTGGCAAGAATATAATGGAAATTGTTATTTTCGGGTATGTTTTTGCTTGGTGCAGTATCTAATGTCTATACCCTAAAAGAAATTTAATTTTCTATCTGCTCAACTGTTTTTCGCTTCCAAAGAGCTTAATTAGAGGACAGAATATTTTTAATAAAAAACTCTGGCTATGCACAAAAGTATTACCGAATAAAGCAAATAAGATGAAAAAAAGTTTTAGGAGAAAAATGTACACTCGCGTGAATTTGCAAAAACAGTTTGTCAGCAGAAGGGAGCTCATTTAGTATCAATAACTTCGCCTAAAGAAAGGGACTTTTTATATGGTGAGCATTCAGCTGTCTTATTTTTGTTTTAGGTTTGATAGTTTTGTTTATTTTTGCAACATACCTTTCAGCTTATAACATCTCTTCTTATTTGAGAGACCTTTACATGTACTATTTAAGATTTCCAAATCCTGGTAAACGCTTTCAAATTTAAAACTGTCAACTTATTTATATTACAGATTTGGCTCGGAAATTACCGTTTCACACAGGTCTTACTACTCGGCATACAGAAGTGCCGGTCTTCCTGACCACTTCTAGGAATCTTTTTAACTATGTGAACTCGGTGAAGGTTCTTGATGATGCTAAAGGAAAAACCTATCCCATACAGTACAAAAAAGAATTTGCCAGAATGACTACAATAACACATGAAAATCAGTCTCATCCACTTTGTGAATACAGAGGTCAGATTTGGATTAACACTAATCTTTTATCGTAATTACTGTTTGATTCTTGGAAGAACTCTAACCTTGTGAACAAATTTAGTATATCATGATAATCTCTATTCTTACAGCACTCACCGTTCTTTATGTGCTTATCAAACTTTAATTTCAAAAAGGTGTTTTACAGTAAAGTATACAATTTTACTAACAGTACGAAAAAGTTATATTAGCACTTTTATCTATCTTTCTGTCAGCTTTAGTGAGACAAAACGACTATTTTTTGCCATTTTATGAATAAAAAAAAATCAATTGAGGAGCTTCATAACATCGTCTTTTCAGTCTACCATTGTCGCCATGATTGGTATCCAGTTGGAGAATATTGCTTTAAAACTGTCAGTATTTCTAACTCATTTTGGCTTAAAAATTACAGATCTATAATTGTCGTAATTAAAGTATTCTTTAACAAATTTTTCAGACTGTTTATCAGAAAAAAAAGCTATGGCTATCACGTTAATTGACTTTCAGAGTTGAAGTCAAAATTCTCTTTCTAGCAAATTTTAAAATGATGTGTTACACAAAAAACCCCAATAAGCAAACATTATTCTCAGAAAAAGCGATTTATTGCAGTGACTTTTACAGGTGAGAACAGCTTTGTTTTATGATGATGCCGTTAAAACTTGTATAGCAAATGGGGCGTTTTTAGCATCATTTCAATCAAACACTGAAGAGGATATTGCTAAAGGTGAGGAAAAAATAACGTTCAAAACTGAGCAGCGACTTTTTTTTGCAGCACGGAGGTTTAGTTTTAGACTCTAAACTAGAAGTACTCTAGAAATGCAAAGAAGACTTTATAAAATCTGGTTTAAGAAAGTGAGCTACAAGTAGTCTATACTGCAGTTAGCCATTTTCAAAAATTAAGCAATGTGGTTATGTTTTGACTGGGTGATTAGCTATATTATATTTTTAAATGCCATATTTTCTAGAATCTTTTTTGTATTTTCAAATCTTCAGGGGCTTGAAAATCTTAGTTTAAATTGTAGTAGTTTTATTTATTTTTTATTGGGAAAACGTTATTTTATGCTAATGAATGTTTGCTGAATGTTCAGAAGTATAAGAAATTGTTCTTTGCTAATAGTCAATTTGTTAAAGACTTGGTCCCAAGTCGGTATTATTGGATTGGGGCCCAAATGTACAACGGTAAATGGGTATGGCAAGATGGGAGCGAGTGGCGTTACGGAAAAGTTAAACTGGAAGATGATTACCCACATAAACTTCCTGTGGTAGCAGATCGTAAGACGAAATTTTGGATTGGTATTTCTCCTAACAGTCGTTTCCCAGCCTTATGCAAATATCATGGTGCGTAAAGGTTGAATGTCAAACATCAATAACTTTACATGAAGATCTTACCCATTTTAAATATTTTCATAAACCCCCTAAAATTTTGTAGTATGAAGGAGTAAGAGAAAGGTGATAGTTACTACTTTCTACAAACTGTAACTAAGTAAATAACTAGCAAAAAGGTCTGTAAAATTTACCTGTTACTTGAAATAAAAATCATTGCGCTAGTCAGTAAAATCTTGACAATAAGTCTCATAACCTAGTCTTGTCATGAGATTTCTCGTATTTCAATATGTAGATCATTGTTTCTTAT